TCTTCTCTAAAAACCTGTAGGTGAGAAATCAACCAATTGATACTCCCTCTATTCTTAGCCAATTCCAGCCTAGTAACATTGAGTATAGATACGCTCTCTCTAACCGACTGAGCCATTGCTTGTTGTCTCTGTTCTACCACCTTTAATTTCCTCTTAATTACTCTCACTTCGCCTTCGGAGACTGTACCAAACAACACGCTTAATGCCTTTCCCATTATAGATAATACTGCCTTCTTTTGCCTGGTCCGTAACAACTTTATTCCTTTCAAATAATAACTCATATCCTTCCATTGTCTCTCAAGTATTAAGGATTCCTGAGCAAAGGGGTATAATATACGGTGGTATTCCGGAGTCTGTAAATAGTCTCCGGCGACTTGTGTCCTGGCTGTATCTATTTTGTCCACTTCGGTCTTCAACTGACCCAGTAACTTCTCATATGGCTGCAGGTCTATCACCAACGTTATCAACCACTTTGATCTAGTTATACTCCCTTCGCTAGTCTTCTTAAATACAGTATTCTCACTGTGTTCCCAGGTATTAGCTACCATAACTAGCATCGTCAGTACCACAAGCCTCCTCTCGTCCATGTCCATGATGGAGAGAAGAATCCGTCTTACTCAATCATTCTCTTATTGTTTTTATCGGGTGGTTACATCTTAGAGCGATACCTCAAGCACCGACCCATACCACCACCAGCGTCGTGCATGCATGGGGCCCGTCCACACAGTTCACCAGCACCGATGATAAATGCACAGTTAGTCCCAGACCGTCACTGGTTTCACTTAATCTTTGGGCTCGGGCTGCACCGCTCCCCCTTAATCGCAGTTTTAGTGGTAATTCCTCATTAACACTAGGTGCTTTTTCAGCCCGCAATTTATTCTGCAATTGAGCTAACGGAATTCCATCCTCTTCTTCCCATTCACTCGGTTCTTCTTCTTCCCTAAGGTTCCGCTGGGGTCCGATTTACATCCCTCAGCCTTCGAAGGGTAGTTGGCTAATTTCAGTCTCCTCAGTCCCTTCACTTTCACTCTCAGTCTCTAACCCTTCGGGTTCTACCAACGTAGATTTCCTCAGCCTTTTCTGTTGAGTTTTTGTTTCAGCTCCTTTCCATTCTCCTATTTCAGCTAACATTATATCATTCGCATGCACTCTCTTTAACCTGTCCGGTCAATTGGTCTCAGATCACAAAGGAAACAGGACCCGTCTGCTCCACAATCCTATAGTATGGACTCCATCTCTGGTCCAATTTACTTTCTCTCCTGTGTATTCTATAATACACTGGATCACCTATCTGGAAGGAAACTTCTCTATTTTTATTTACCCTATCGTTTCGCCTTTTCTGTGCTCTTTGAATCCTCCTCCTCACCTGCGTAAAAATTTTATGCTGTTGTTCTAAAACTATTCTCTCCTAAATACTACTTCCTAGGTCGTAACAGATTGTCTTTAGGTAAGACTACATTCTTGCCATATATCAAGTAATAAGGGGAAAATTGTTAGACATTTCCATGACGGTCGTCCTTGAGTATTGAATCTAGAGGTTGGCAGTGAATATTTCGGAGACAGTAGGAAAGCGTACTTTAGGTTCGCAGTGAATATCACAGCAGAGTGTAGTTCATCCTTCTACTGGTCGCCTTTGGTCCTTCCAGTAGACGAAACAAGATGGCCGCCTTTATACACGATGAATACAGTGTTGTGCGGCTTCGGATTGGTCAACCTTCCATTGGTCGACTATAAAGGGAAATAAGTCATTCTGACTCGCTCACTAGTTATAAGTATATATACCCAAAAAACCGTAACAAAAATTTCGTCGTCTCGTTCATCGAGAATCTCGCAGCTGCTAACGCTTGGGTTACGAAATTTCCCTATTATCCTCTGTTAGTTTAGCTAACACATCAGTGAGGGTCTTATGAAATCTCTCTACCTTAGCATTACTTTGGGGGTGATATGGAGAGGTGCTTATCTGTCGTATGCCTAATTCTCCCAACGTCTCTCTCATAATCTGATTCACATTCTCCGACCCATTATCGGTAACCAACTGTTCGGGGACCCCATACTTAGGGAATATTTCATTCGGTATTATATCTGATACTGTTTGTGCCTTCTTATTCGGTATGGCAAATACTTCAAACTAATTCGTCAACCAGTCCACAAAACTCACTATGTAAAGATTACCTTTATGTGTTTCTCCATAGGGCCCGGAAATATCCATGCTTACTTTCTGAAATGGATAATTCGGAACATCCGTTTCTAATACTGACTCTGTACTTGGCATGTTACACATTTTTACATGGTTTACAACATCATTAAACAACTTAGGCCAGTAGTAATTTCTCATTATTAATTCATACATCTTATCAATTCCCAGGTGTCCTAACCTCCTACGGCACTGGTCTAGAATTTCAGCTCTCAACTTCTCAGGTATCACCATTTTTAAACTTACATCCTCACCTCTTCCTGAAAGGTAATACAACACTCCATCGTGCACCATATATTTGGAGGTACGCCCTGCCTCTACCCTGGACCTGATAGTTGTTATCTCGCTATCCGCTTGGCTTTGCCTAATAATATCTCTCCAGTCGGGGTCGGAAAACAATCTCCGTTTCGCTCGTTTCCTGATCTTCCCAACCAATTCTCTCCTTCAACGCCTGTGAATTGATCACATTAATTTGGAATGCTTTATCATCCACACCCGGCTCCAACCTGTCAGATTCGGTCTCTAATTGCCTCGGAATCCTCGATAACAGGTCAGCACAGGTATTATCCTTCCCTGCCAAATATTTTATTCTGCAGTTATACCCACTTAACTTCAATGCCCACTGTTGTATCTTCTTATTCGTCCACTCTGCCTCTAACAAATATTTGAGAGGTTTGTGGTCTGTTTTAATGGTAAACACAGCCCCACTCAAATAATACTCTAATTTCTGCACAGCATACAGAAAGGCGAACACCTCTTTTTCTATTACTGGCCACCTTTGATGGGTCTCGGAGAGCCGATGAGACAGAAAATAAATCGGCACTTCCTCAGGCACACCCGGTACTGGTCCATCCTTATCGGGACATGGTTGTGTAAGAACCGCCCTGATGCACTTATCGCTAACATCGGTGTACAGCACTATGGGCTTACTCAGGTCTGGGTAGGCCAACAGGGGTACAGCTGTCAGCTAGTCCTTTAGAGCCTCGAATGCACGCTGACAATCCTCAGTCCACTTAAACCTAGCATGCTTTTTAGTTTGAGCTATTAGAGGGCTTGCCAGCCAGCTGATGATATCTGATAGCTCCAATAAATCCCTTAATCTCTCTTACGGTCTTCGGTGCGGGCATGGCTGTTATAACCTCTACTTTGTCTAAATCCGTTTTTATTCCTTCTTTGTTTATGATAAACCCTAAGTAATTTGTCTCTTCTTTCATAAACTGTCACTTTGATAATTTTAACTTTAATCCATGTTCTCTTAACTTATCGAACACCTTCTGCAGATGTTCAAAATGCTCCTCCGGTGATTTTGAAAACACCCTGATGCCATCTAGATACGCCATGGCAAATGCCTCAGTGCCATTCAATACGATGGATGTTAACTGACTAAATACACCCGGGGCGTTTGCTAACCCAAACGGCATAAATCTAAAATTGAAGAGACCCATGTGGCAGGTAAAAGCGGTCTTTTCCCGATCCTTTTTGCTAAGTGTTACCTGCCAATATCCCGACCTCAAATCCAAGGTGGAAAAACATTTAGACTCTCCTAAAAGAGTTTGAATATTATCAATCAAGGGGAGGAGCACTGCCAACGGTTTCCTAATGGCATTTAATCCGCACAAAATCCACAACAAACCTATGCCCTCCATCCTTCCTTTCAACAATCACTATTGGAAAACTCCAGGGAGATTTGGATCTTTCGATTATCCCTGATTCCATCATTTCATTCACTGCGTCCTCTACTAATTTTCTTTTGTGGATTGGGGCCCTATACGGTCTTAATAGGTGGGTGATTATCCGTGTCTATCTTCATTTCATCAGTCTCTTTCTGTCCCATTTCCTTATCAGTAATGGCTATTACCTCCCGATTACCGTTCAGCAACCCCTCAATTTCCTCCTATAACGCTTAGGAACTGTTATATCTTCATCCCGTATTTCATTGCTACCTGTCTTATTACCAGGCCTATTCTCATTCCATACTCTCACCTGTTCGACTTCTCTCACTGGGCACACCTGTGCCAGCTCCACTCCCTGCTTTATTTTAATAGTTTTATTGACAGTATTAGTTAACAGTAAGGAAACGGTCCCCGACCTCTTCACCAATGAATCACACATGGTTATTTCCCCTTCACACTATTATCATACCTATCAGTAGGAGCCACTTGGTACAGGTCACTGTTCAGCACTCCTTCTGTTATAATCTTGCCCTTCCCAGATACAGTAGTCCTAGAGGGAAGCTTTATATCTGTCTGGGCTACCACTGGCAATTGTTCATAATTATCCTCTCCCAAAAGTATCCCTACCCAGTCCAATGTTAGGGTAGCGGGGTCAAAACGGATCTGTGCCTTATTCTACCTAAGCCAGTGACTCCCCAAAATTAGCTCATCACACAAGTCAGCTACCACATAAACCTTAAGTTTACCTCTGGTTCTTGCCAACTGGAAAGGTAGCCACGTCATACCCCTCTATCCTCAACCTGCTACTATCAGCCTGATTTAATAGTAGATCGACGGGACTAAGCTTCGTTTTCAGTCCCATCTGTCTAAAAAACCTTGGAGCTAACTAGTGACACTGAAGCTCCAGTATCGACAAGGGTCTTCACCTTCTTGTTTCCCAGCAACACATTACAGGTGAAGTCTGGCCCTTCCTTCAGCAAACGGTATACCTGTGCTTTTCTCCTTTCCGTATGTTCTCTCCGTTCCTCCCGCTTTCTCGACAACCGAGACGTGGGAATCGGTGACAGGAGTTCACCTTTGTCTAGGGGCTCCAATTTCTGCCTAGGGGCCCTCGTGGGTGGGTTAGAGCTAGGATGACCCTCTTTTCTCGGACTAGCAACCCATTTCTCCCCTCCATTCGAGTTAGGGTTGTTCCGTTCGGTGTGGTCCATCTTTCTCCTGCGAGGACAGGTTCGTCTCAGGTGACCCGCTCCTTACAACTGGCCGAAAAGTGCCCGACCACACCACATGTCCATCATCTCAGAAGTCTTACTTGTCACCCTGCCTCTTACTTTTTCACGGGTGACCCATCGGCGTTTCCCGGACCCTTTTCCTTATCGGTAGGAGGCACCAGCGTATTAACTCGCTTTATCCCCAGTTTACGGTCCCCCTCTACTGTACACCACCGAGCCTTGTGCCTGAACTCGCCACAAGTCGTGCAGCTCGGCCCCAAAGACCTTGGGTCGCCTCCATAGTTTGTCGGACAGTCGCGGGCCCGATGCCCACCATACTTGCAAGTCCAACACATTAGCCCATATCGGCCCGGTGTAGGCTTGTCAAACCCATAACGCAGATCCCAGGCTCTCCTATTGGGAACTGCCTCAGCCTTCCAGTCTTCTTCCACCTCTTCTTTCGGATCCCGTATCTGGATCCACTCCCGGTCCTTCTTTTTCATCACTACCTTGATCCCCCGGGGGTTCCTACCTACACCCCCTCTTTTTCTATCCCAGAATTGCTCGCCGGTCCGAGCCGCTTCTATGGCTGCGACCAAGCTGACCGGTCCCCCCTTCACGTCCCTGTCACCCAGCGCGTCCACATACACATCGGCCAACAAGGACCACTGTCCCGAGTCGCCAACTCCGGAAAAGTTAACGCTGCTAGCCCCGCGATTCTTTCCCACAATTCCTCATTAGTCTCTCCTTCTTTGTTCTGTAGCCGGAATAATTTCCTGCCTCAATGGCCGTACGCTCACTTGCGTATTCCGCACCAGAGCGGATTTAAGCTCGGTCCACGTCAGGGCCAGGTTTTCTTTGTACGCCCCCCCCCCATAAACTTGGACACCTGCCCCGTTGCGGCGCACTTAGAAGCTAGGAGCACCATTTCTTGGTCCGAGAGGCTATAGATCACCTGCTTCTTCTGAATGGACAGAATCCATTCGTGCAGGTCCTATAGGTAGGTAGCTTCATGCCTCCTGAAACCCATCGATATTTCGGAGACTCCCATGTCCCCAAGGTCATCTGTGGCGTCTGATCCTGCTACTCTCATGCTAGCGTCTTGTCAACTACCACTTTTCCACGAGAAGAGAGACCAACGCCAAAGCGAAAGGAAAAATACTTAACACGGTGGTGGGGCTTCAACTGCGTACAAAGTCGACAAGGTCAAAACAAGATCAACATTATTACTGGTAGATCTAAGTGCAATGAGCGAACAAAGGAAACCAAAAAGTGACTTACTTGAAGTCCGCCGCTCCGTGTTTTGTTTCTTTTTCCTCCTTCTTTTGTTTCCTTCTCTTTTCCTTCTTATGTCTCTTTCAGACCAACATTGTCCGAAGACTAGAGTCCTTTCTGGTCTTACTCGGTCCCGACTGGACAAAACAAATGCAACCTTCTCTCCTCTTTCCGACGGCCGTGGTAATTCCAGCTTAGTCCACTGAAGCCCTCAGTGCCAAGAACACCTACAGCCCCATTTCCTCTACCAGCTTTAATGGCGACGCCACAGCTTCATACAGCAAGTTAAACGAACTCAGCGGGGAGAAAATTGTAAAAAATCAAGAAACTAAAGGAAGAATTGAACTCTAAGCGGGCTAAGAAATAAAAGCCGCTGGGGTTGCCGGATCCCTCATCCTCTGTCCCGTCTTCCCCAACATCCAAGAAAACATTTACACAGCCAGCTCCGCCCAAATCACTGACAAACACACCTACAAAATCAAAAGAATCGGTGCAAGAAATTTCGATGCCACTGCCATCTCCGTTCAAATACACCTCTGTCCATACACCCAGAACTTCACCCCCAAACTACTCCTACTTCCACACCTTCTCAATCACCCAGAAATTTTGAAGGATCAAAATGGAACAGAAATCTTGAAGAAAAAGCTCAAACCACCATACTTATCTGGGGAAGACGTCTGCTGCGTATCCCGGGAACAAGCAGATCGAGTTTATGCACAGACTCAGAATCCGAAAGATCTCAGGTGTCTGTGGAATTTTCGGCAGGTGAGCGGAAAGTATATAGAAGTTCCACAGAACTTCAAAAAGCAAAACAAGTGCTGACAGTTGTGCGATCGGGACCGGATACGTGCCAGATTCGGGGCATGATAGAGGAGGCAAACATGTCTATCAAATTAGTGCCCCTAGCGGCGTATATGAATTACAGTCAGATGTCAGAATCAAAACAATTTTATTCTGTGCGGCTCCCCGTTTTTTTTACCCATCCCTTTATAAGGCTTTAAAGTTAACGTTTCCTGGGGATATTGGCGGCCTGTCTCTTGATTAAGAGTGAGATGGGCACAGGATCAATGGGACAGGCCGATGGTGTCCTCACTCCAGCTGTCTTGAATGTAGAAGAGCGACCCTAATCGGTTTGATAATGTCTCTCTGGTTGGCTAGTGTATATACCCGAGGACTGAGGTCAGAGTCTCGCAGGACGAGGTTCTCTCGTAACTTTCAGCGTCTAGGGGTGCAGGAGACCCGGTTTTCTACTCGCGATTATGGAGACATTCTGTCTAGAAATTTTTCACTCTATACAGCATGTTTTCATGGATGCTCGAAAGGTGTCTCCTGGCAAGTCTTTCAAGGCTGCGTGTGCTCTAGTCTTTGCAGATCCGGCGGGCAGGCTTTGCGTGCTGGATGTTACCATAAAGGCTCTTCGTTTCATTGGGGTTTATGCGTCCAATGACCATTCTGAGCGACCTGCTTTGTTTCGGCGGATCGAGCCGTTTTTTCCTTCGCAAGTTAAAGAAGAATCCCATCCTACGCTGAATTTACTTACATGGTTCTACCACCTCAGCCAGGTATTCTGCCTATGCTGACGACGTTTCGGTTCTTGTGTCGAGAAGAGCCGAGACTGACTAAGTCAGCAAAGAAATCAGAGGGTACGAGACGGTGACAGGGACCAAGATCAACCGCGATGTCTGCGGTTGGATGTGTGGAAGGGAGTTTTTCTTCCCGGACCTTTCCTCTGGACGGACGGAGCGGTCAAGATACTCGGCGTCTTAGCTAGAGTATGTATGCTCATTGGGCCCTTTTTCTGACCTTATTTTCTTTAGTTTAGTCCCCCTTCTCTCTCCGGTTTAGGTGAGCGGAATCGTTAATTCTCTGGTGGATGCGGGGCGCCTTTCCATTCGGGTGTAATTTCCGTATTTGTTGTGTTTGAATGAGTGTGTTTGAGTGAGTGTTTTTGAGTGAGTATTTGGACTGTTTTATGTTATTAAAGTCCCGCGTTGATTTCATCCAGCTAACTGATGTTTCTTCCACATTTAAAAATTGTGGGGGGGGGGGTTATTACTAATATTATTTTGTTCGGGTTCTTGTAAATAGAATTTTCATATTATAAATAAATACATATTGAGGTTAATTTTTAAGCTGTTGTTTTATCCCTCCTCCTACAGACATGAATTGTACATATGTGGACTAGTTAGGTTTTTCATAGAGACATTGAGGTATTACGGTGGATGGAGTAAGAATGGTAAGAATGCGTTGTTTTGGTGTTAGGAATATTGTGGTATGTTTGGGCCAGTGATTGTGTCTAGCTAAATTTAAATTTAAGGCAGAAGAAGACCGTTTTGTCTTCCTGATTGCTCTTTTTCCTTTCTACTCATTACTAATATTTCTGTTCTTAATTCCTCCACACCCAGTAACCACTTGTTTGCTTGCTGTACTGCCTTGCTTGGGGGTGATAAATACAAATAAAAATAAAAATAAAGACAGCGAAGGAAATAAACAATAAAAACGTTTGATGTTTAGTCTATAGAAATCAGAAAGAGAAAAACTTTATTTACATTGTAAATAAAGTTTGTCTACCCCTAACATTAGTTTATATTGTAAATTTTACATTATAAACAAATGTTAGGGGTAGACACAAAGGAATGATTGTTAATTACACTAATAGTTTAAGTGCTATAGGTTTATTCCCAACCAGTTAACATCAAACATATAAAATAAAATAAAATATTTTTTATACTTACTAGCGGAACGAAAAGGATATTTCAGTTTCTTTACTGGAGCTGTTTTTTTTTTTGTTTTTTTTAAAATATTTCATGCAACTAATAATAGTTTTAATTTAATGGGTTTTCATATTTAATCCTTTAAAATCTCAGCTACTCTGTCGGATATGTTAAATTGAATTACTTTGGCTCACATGAGAAGGAATGTTTTGAAAAGTGCTGAAATTACCTTTTTCACAGAAAATCTGCGCGTTGTCGCTGTAGTATTTCAGCGTGGAGAAATCTTTCGTTTTGTTTTGTAGATGCTGGTCGTATGGAGACGTTGATGACTCCTGCTACAGACTCAACGAACCTTCTTGAGTTGAGAGAGAAAGGCGCAAACCAAAAGCCTCATCCAAAAAGCTCCCAAAAGGTGCGGACTCGCTCTTTTATGAGCGTCTCCAAGGCGTGGCAAAACTCAAACGAGTTTTCATAAGAACCAGAAGACACTATGGGCAAAATAAACTGATCAGTTAGCTTTTCTTTCCTTTTCCCGCTAGTGTATAAAAAATCATTACTTTAGCAGACGCTAACTACATGTTTGTGTATTAAAAAATCATTACTCTACCAGATGGTAACACTTCTACTAATAGTTTAACAATAGGATACAAACTCCCTGAGTATTATATTTCCGAGGTGACGGTAAACCCCCGTTTTATGCCATCTATTTTCCCTCATGGAAACACTTGACTCTGGAAGTACTGGGAAATCCTTTTTGCTAAACGTACTTTAATCTGGTCAATCAATAATGGCAGAAAAAAGAAAATAATTAATATGCCTTGTAATTACTAAAGAAAGCTAATTGCTAGGAAGATTAAATGTACTTGTAAATTTCTTAGAGAATTTAAAAAATTAGCAAGCTTATAAAATGTACAGAAGTATCTAATTTTTACCTTGGAGATAGAGACCCACTTTGTTCAAATGATGGATAATCAAAATTCAATAATTAATTTTAAACTTTGTCTATGTAGAGAAAGGGGATTTTGGATAATGCTAAACAATTCTTTTTGACTGGGATTTTCTGATTAGTAAAGATGTGTTTGAGGATGACATAAGAGATGCTAGGTAATGTTAAGAGAGAAAATTGAGCCAATGAATACACAAAGTAGTAATGGGAAGGCTGGACACAGGAGTGACCAGTCAAATTTGGAATTGTGTGATAACTAATCAGAAAACCCAATAAACCTTATTCCTAAGGGTCCTCAATCTAAATTTTAAGCAGTTGAGACAGGTTGGTCAACAGATCCTGTTGATATGTTGCTTGGCAATATCTTAATCTTCTGCTGAAAAAATTGTGGAAAATTAAGAAATTCTAACTTCTAATTTTTGGCTACATCTGAAGTTAAGATAAAGTTTGGCAACAACTTCTGTTTGAAAGCTTAACGTCACTGCCCTGTTTACACCAACTTCACTTTCTTTCACTGATACAAGTTCTTTATTTTTGTTAAATATAGCACCTTTAGAAAGTTAACAAATGAACTGTAGGTTAAGAAGACACAACACCTGAAACTCTTTGTAACCTGAACTGAATAAATTCAGTATTTCTTATTACTTTTAAATTGTCATTTTCCCATTATTTTGAGATCACCTGTTTTTCTTTGCTTTATGATCAGATACACTTAACTCAGTGGATGCTTCAACTAAATCTGCCAAGAGACTTCTTCATATCTAAAAATACACAATGCGGGTGGAGATGCTAGACAGAAAGATATCAAGCCAACAAGAGGGCTGACTTGCTGTACATATGTAGGAATTCAGATATGTCTATTGACTCTCAGACATTATTATGTCTGTTTGCTTTTTATTTATTATTCATGGTTTTGACATTAAACTTTCCTGTTAATAATTATCTGGCAAAGATCACTCAACGAAATACATTCCTGATGTATATATAACAGATATTAAAAGGAAAATAAGAATCT